TGACGATTTCATTCATTTTGACATGGAAAATATTGAACACTACCATTTTCAGCCACTAGAGGGCGCTTGAGTTATATGGCAAGCCAAGTGTCTCATTAATAGGTAAAAGTGTCTGTTAATGAGACACTTGGCTTGCCATACCAAGACACCTTCGTCTTGCTCTGGAACTCCTGGAGCAAACGTCAAATTAGCTTCATTTTGCCGCATCGCCCAAGTGAAATGCAGCTGATTTGACCATTTAAGTGCATTTATAAAGGAAAAGTTAAACTGAGACACACCTTTATTATAATGTCAAGCAAACAAATAATTGTTTTTAAGTGTTAATCTTGTTAAATTCTTGTTAAAGTCCTCCTGTGCGTGCTCCTGCAGCCGCCTTTTGGCAGCCAATCGATTTTTGGCACATCGGCCCTCGTTTTCCGGTGGTCAGCTCATAACAAACGCGACGTGTCAGTGGTGACACATAATCGATGCGACTTATACGGCGAAGCGACTTGTTTCTGTTTTTTCCACTTTATTGGACATCTTTAGACTGATGCGACTTATACAGCAGTGCGATGTGTACGGCAGAAAGTACGATAAATGTGTTTGCCTCCTGCAGTTTCATAAAAAACCCAGCTCTTGTCTTGATGTGTGAAACTGGAGGTTCGACAAGTTTCACTCTCAATATATATATATATTTTTTTAATTCATTTACGTGTTTTATTAAACGTGAACAGATCTAAATCTGAACATTAACTCCTCGTGACCTCGTATTTACCGATCAGCGTTAAAAACATGTTGTGAAATTAAAAGAAAGTGTCTTTAAATTTATTTTCTGACTCAAAAGAATGGAGAAGTTTGAAGAGATGAAGAATTAAATAAATTAGTTTATAAATTACCTGTTTGGTGCTGCCGGGTGGTTAAAGATGTGAACCGAGTCAGAGACGAGTTTGTGAATTTAACAGATGAAGACGTTTAAATCCTGAGCTCGGCTCTCGGCACAAATCGTCGCAGAGGAGAGTTAAACGAGTTTTCACAGGAACTGAAGCATTAGTGATGACAAACATGTTGAATTAAATTTTACAGAGTTCTGAAGTGAACGTTGTCAGATCAGACGTTTGCTCTTCATTCAAGTCTCTAATTAAAACAATCCGTCTGACTGCCAGTCGTAATCTGGGCTAATCTGGGCTGAGTGTCAGCCGCTGAAGTTCTGAATGACAGCTGAATTTAATCCTTAGTTTATTTAAAATAAAAAAGACAAAATACATAAATGACTTTTGATTTGTTTTGACAAAAAGGAATACGATAAAGTTGTTTTAGTCCTAAAATGTTTTTTTTTTCTTTTGTGATCCACAGAAACAATATTTTAAAATTGGTTTTGTTTTCTCTAAATGGTGTCAGATTATTAGTCCAGCTGTTGTCGTTTATCGGTTTTCTAATCGGATTCTGTTTTTCTGTTGTTGTGAAGTTCTCCAGCATCAAACCTAAAATGTTGCTGCAGGAAACGGGCTCAAAACAAAACAATTATTCAGACTAAAGGAAGGACGTGTTCGGCTGTAACGCCGTGTGAAAGCTGAGCCGAATGGTTTTCCTGAAATTAGCTGAATTGCTAAAGTTCAAACAAGCGGAACAGAAGCTAAAATTAACAACACTTTGGACAATTTAAGCTAAAAGGAAGCTAAAAGCTAAAAGCTAAACACAGCAAAACAGCTGCTAAAAACTGCACTTACCAACATCATAGCTATAAGCTAAAATTAACCAAACAGTAGCTAAAATATAACTAAATAGTTAAAAACTGTTTCTAAAAGTTAAATGTATCCATCCATCATTCCATCCATCCATCCTTCCATCTACCATCCAACCATCCATCCATCCATTCCTCCATCCATCCATCCTTCCACCCATCCATCT